TGGCAGCTAGATCTTGGACTTCCCAGCCTCCGGAACCATGAAACAATTTCTGTTGTTTAAACCACTGGTTCTGTAGCTCTTAATCATGACAGCCCACGCAAACCAAGACAGAGTGAGATGATTCAAACGAGGGGAAGCAGGAGCTGTCATGGGGAAGAAGAAAAGGAAGCAGGTCTTGATTCTTTTGGCTGTAGAGTTCATCCAGATTGCATCAGCCTGTTTGGCGGGAGACCTTGGGCTGGCTCCCAAGTTAGAGTGAGATTCAAAGCCCTCAGCAGAAACGGTCTCTCTCTGGCACCCCTCTCCCTTCCCCTGCTCCCTCAGTGTGAGTTGCTCTCCAAGCAGCCCTTGGCTCAGCCAGCACTTGGCTGTGTGAGCACAACTGGGTTTTTCCAGAGCACTTAAGGACACCTGGAGCTGATGGATGATGCAGACTTGGAGGAAGAGAAAAAGGCGCTCAGGGCTACGGGGTGCAGATGATGCTGATGAACTGACGTTCAGGCTGACGGCCAGCTCAGGTGACCAGGAGAGCCAGCAGGGGCCTTGGGCTGGCAGTGAGATATGGGGAAGTCGTGACCAACCCAGGACTCACTCACCCATTCTCCACGCACTGCATTCCCCTCACGGGAAGTCTCCCTCCATCACCAACAGGAAAGGCAGATGGGCTGGGCCAGGGGCACAACCTACACCTTGCACAAACTGTCTAGGATGTCTGAGCACAAGAGAAAAAAGACTCACCTGCATGTATGGCTTGACATAGCGCTTTCCTGGTAACTCAGCAGTAAAGAATCCTCCTGCCACTGTCTGCCATTGCAGGAGACCCGGGTTCAATGCCTGGGTCAGGAAGATCCCCTGGAGAAGGGAATGGCAACCCACTCCAGTATTCTTGCCTGGAAAGTCCCATGGACAGAGGAGCCTGGCGAGCTACAGTCCATGGGGTTGTAGAGTCAGACATGGCTTAGCAACTAAACAACAGCAACAAACAACGCATGTGTGGGGATAGCAAGCAGGGTTAATTGTCCTTTTTTTTTCCTGACATGGACCATTTTTAAAGTCTTTATTTATTTGTTACAATATTGTTTTTGCTTTGTGTTTTATTTTTTTTTGGGCCGTGAGGCATGTAGGATCCTAGCTCCCTGACCAGGGATTGAATCCACACCAACATTAGAAAAAAGAAAGTCTTTACAATTGGACCAACAAGGGAAGTCCCTAATCATCATCATTTTTGTCCAGTTTTCCAAGTTTTTTTATTATGATATAATAATAGCAAAAATGTTATAACATAAAGCTTGCCATTTTAGCCATGGTTATGTGAACAGTTCAGCAGGATGAACTGTACTAACAGTATTATGCAACCATCAGCACTACTTCTAAAACTTTCTCATCCCCCCAACAAACTCTGTGCCCATTAACCAACAACTGACCCCGTTCTCCTCTTCTCTCAGCCTCTGGGAACCTGTAATTTACTTTTTATCTCTATAAATTAATTTGCCTATTCTCAAACTTTCATGTAAGTGGAAGCATACAGCATTTGTCCTCATGGATCTGGCTTATTTCACTTAGCATATTTTCAAGATTCGTGTTGTAACATGTACCAGAACTTCACTCATTTTTATGGCTGAGTGATATTCCATGGTATATACATGTACATACATACATACATGGTACATACAAAATATTAGACAATATTTTGCTTATTCATTCATGTATTGATGGACACTTGTTTATTTCAGCCTATGAAGTACTGTGAACAACGCTGCAATGAACATTGGCATACAAGTAACTATTTAAGTCCCTGTTTTAATTCTCTGGGGTACATACCTAGGAGTGGAACTGCTGGATCATCTACATTAAACCTTTTGAGTGACTGCAAAACAGCTTTGATTCTATGCATTCATTTAATATTCATGTCTTGACACTTCCTACATAGCAAGAATGTAGACAGAGACCATCTTCAAGGATTTTGCCCTCTAGCGGTGCTAAGTGACATACAGTAGACACGTGAATAAATACATCAATCCAAAATGGGTGCACACCCAGACAGACACTGTAAGGTACAAGCACAGATGACAACATGTAAGTGGGGTTTACACTTCAGGCTTGGGCTTCCCCGGGGGCTCAGGGATAAACAAGCCCCCTACCAATGTAGGAAACAGGGGTTCCATCCCTGTCCAGGAAGACCCCACACGCTGTGGAGCAGCTCGGCCTGCACCCACACTATGGAGCCTGCACTCTGCAGCTGGGGACTGAACTCCTGCGCCTGCGAGCGGCCAGCACGGACCCTCAAGTGCCCGAGGAGCCCGTGCGCCACGGGGAGAGAAGCCCCCACAATGCGCAGCCCCCGCTCACCACAACCAGAGGAAAGCCTGAGCAGCAACATGGACTCGGCGCAGACAAAGACAAAGAAAGAAACTTGAGGCCGGAGGGAGGTTCCCCTGACAGAAGGGCACTTGAGCAGGGACTTAAGAACCAGTGTCAGGCAGGTGAAGGAGGAGAAAGGGTCCGTCTAAGATGACAGCATGAGTGGTCCAGGCGTGGAAACGAGACCGAGAGAGGGCCCAGGCGGCAGGTCTCCCGGGCAGGACCATACGGCACAGAAGGTGTCTGCAGAGGGGGATGCAGGGCCAGCCCATCTGAGGACCTGTGAGTCAGGTCAAGGGCTGGAGGGCTTCTCTAAACCAGAAGAGGAAGAGGTCTCCACTAGAGGACTGATGTGATCAGAGAAGCATTTTTAAAGATCTATTTCTTTAAATCTACTCAAATCTCCTTCTAGGCTACTCGGGAGTAAAATTTTTTAAAGTTTTCTATTGTGGGAAAACTCAAACAAGATAGAAGAGAATCATGAACTCAACAATGCCCAGCTCATGGCCCATTTATTATCCACTCTCCCATTCTACACCCCAGGTGATCTCAAAGTTTATCCCAGATGTCCAGTCACTTCATCCCTAAGTATCTCCTAAGCCTTTGTCAAAGGTAAAGGACTCTTCTTAAATGCATGATCCTAAAATCATTATTTCACCTCAGATACAATAATTATCTTTTAATACTGCCAGAGAGCCAATGCTCAAGTTTCCCCAACTGATTCCTAGTCTTTCTTTATGGTTTGTTGTTTGAATAAAGGGCCTACTTAGGTTGGCCAAAAAGTTCATCCAGGTTTCCCTGTCGCATCTTATGGAAAAACCCTAAATGAACTTTTTGGCCAACCCAAGAAGTAAGGTCCACACCCTGCAATGGGCTGAAATGCTTCTTCAGGCTGCTTGACACCAGAGGCTGCCCTCCCCTCATTCGCGCAAACATTCCCCATGCAGCTCCGTGCGCGTGGCTCAGCACGAGGCCCTGCAGGTGCAGAGAAACAGGCGTCCCACGCAGGGAGTGGGGACGCGCCGCAGAGGCCTCCCCACAGAGACCTGCCAGAGAGAAGGGGGCAAGGTAGTAAAACGACCAGCTGAGGCTCAGGAGTCTTCAGAAGGAACCTCTAGGATTTCTGAAAGGAGGATCTACTTGCTGCATCTGCGCTGACTTTCTCCACTGTGGAAGCCACAGCCAAGAGAGAAGAGACCCTGCCTGGCTGAAATCATAGGGAGGCCAGTTTCCCCACAAACGTCCTCACCCTGGGATGGCATTCACAGAAGTCTTCGTTTTTAATTTCTGCTGCTGCATGCTAAGTCACCTCAGTCATGTCTGACTCCTGGAGACCTACAGATGGTAGCCCACCAGGCTCCTCTGTCCATGGGATTCTCCGGGCAAGAATACTGGAGTGGGTTGCCATTTCCTCCTCCAGGGGATCTTCCCCACCCAGGGATCAAATCCAGGTCTCCTATATTGTAGGCAGATTCTTTACCGTCTGAGCCACCAAGGAAGCCCTTTTATTCCTACTCATATTTAAATGTCAACATCACAGAACAGAAAGAGTTTGCATCTTGGACTCATCAATGGCTTCTTGTTTGATCATCTCCTCTTCATGTTCTCATCATAACTTCTCCGCTTTGGAGACATCATACTGGATGTCTGCATGCAGAGACTTATTTGGAGATGCAGTGGCATCCAGGGAGGGAGAGAAGGTTACATGCAGAGCCACATGCCTGCTGGGAAACTTAGGGCATCAGGAAGGTCATGGCACTCATGCCTGTCGAGCTATTCTGTTTACCACCCTCGGTGAGCTGGTACATGCAAAACAAGTCTACAGCACAATGCCATTTTATACTCATTTAATCAGCAAAAATGGAGACGTATATAAGAAGAATATAAGAATTCCAAGTGTTGTTCCACCCAAAGGAGTATTATTCAGTAGTTGAAAACTTAGGAGGATTTTTCTGGTGGCCCAGTGGTTAAGAATCCATGTGCCAGTGCAGGGGACAGAGGTTCAGTTCCTGGTCCAGGAAGATCCCACATGCCAAGGGGCAACTGAGCCCGCGCACCACACCTACCCAAGTGCCTAGAGCCTGTCTCCGCAACAAAAGAAGCCCTTGCAATGAGACGTCCGTGCACCACCACCAGAGAGCAGCCCCCGCTCACCACAACTGGAGCAAGCCCGAGCAGCAATGGAGACCCAGTGCGGCCAAACTAATTAACTCATTAAAAACATAAAATTAAAGGAAAATAATTGATTGGCATAAATGCAATAAAACTATACAAAAATAAAACCAAAGAAAAACAAATACCAAATTGAATACAAAGGTTGAAGAAGAAGTCAAGGGGATGTGTTGGGAGGTGTACCATTTTATAAACATCTCTTGTAGGAATAGACTGACACCTATGGAAGTGTTTCGTATTGTTTTCACTCCTTTTCATGCAAAATTATCAGTTCATGGGACGCCCCTGGTGGTCCTGTGGTTAAGCCACTAAGCTCCCAACGCAGGGGGCCCAGGTTCAATCCCTGGTCAGGGAATGAGATCCCGCACATCACAACTAAGACCGAGCGCAACCAAATAAATAAAAAATATAGTAAAATAAAACAAAACTCTCAGTACATGAAGGGTGGGAGACCCAGTAACCTTCACCTTTACTCCTGTGGCCATGTCCGCTGTGGAGAGGACTTCTCCTATGACCAGGCTCCGACTGACAAAATTCCTTGTTTTCTCCACCTGAAAACATGACAGACCCAGTGTCAACATATCCTTAGGATTTAAGGATGTCCTTAAATCCTGACCATTTAAATTAACATTTTTAAAAATAATAAACATGTTACTTTTACAATTTAAAAAATTCAACACCATTATTAAGCAAGTTTTAAATAAAAAATAATCCTATCACCCTACAGAAGTCAATGTTTTCATCCTTATAAAAATTTTTTTATTTAAGTATAGTTGATGTACAATATTGTGTTAGTTTCAGGTGTCCAGCCAAGTGATTCAGTTATATTTATATAAATGTATTGTTGCTGTTGTTCAGTCACTAAGTCATGTCCAACTCTTTGCAAACCCATGGACTGCAGCATACCAGGCCTCCTTGTCCTTCACCATCTCCTGGAGTTCGTCCAAGTTCATGTCCACTGAGTCGGTGATGCCATCCAACCATCTCATCCTCTACCACTCTCTTCTCCTTTTACCTTCAATCTTTCCCAGCATATATCTATATTATTTTCCATCACTGTTTATGGTAAGATATTGAGTATAGTTACTTGTGCTATACAGTAAATCTAGTTGTTTATCTCTTTTATATATAGTAGTGAGCATCTGGTGCATTCTTTTTTAATGTGATCATCTGGTCTCAGACCACAGACAAACTAGTTCAAGACTCTTTTCTCACATAATAGGAAGTCAACTGCACCTACATGCACCTAACCACAGACCATCCTGGGGCTTTGATCAGTTACAAACCATGAGGTCTGGTCCCCCTTGTGACACTGTCTTCCACTGCTGTGCCTTGAATCCCAAAGCTACACAGGCAGGCTCTTCCCCACCAGCAAGAAATGGGACAGGACAAGAGCACTATTGCTGTTTCATTTTAAAGTTCCAGAGGCAGGTGGCAATTCTGCCAAAAGTAATGGGCCCTTGCATGTGTAAATTCCAATTACCCATCGTTGGAATTAATGCTAGCTTTTTTTTTTTTTTTTTGGCCGTGCCCTCCCATGATGTGGGATCTTAGTTCCCCGACCCAGGATGGAACTTGTTCCCCTTGAGTTGGAAGCTTGGAGTCCCAACCACTGGACCACCAGATTGGAGGTTGGAGTCCCCACTAGTGGATTCGCCAGTCTCTTCTGAGATGCAACCCACAAAACTCTTGCAAGCTGCCTATGTGCATGAATGTATATATGTGTGCTGTCTGTGTTTGTCCGTGTGTGTAAATTACGCCCCACCAGAGCAGCAGGAGCCTATCTTCCTTGGATGACTCTCAGTTTCCACACTGGCTTAAGCTCTCTCTGCAAACACATGACTTTCCCTCCTATAGGTTTTTACAATGTTCCTCTCAAGCATTATTAATTTTTTCAAGCAGCAAACTGTCAAGATTTATGACTCTTAGCATGGCTCCCACCCAGTGCATCTTGGATTGATTATTTCCTAAAATACCTCCAAGGCTGGAGCATGTACCAGTGCCTGGCTCCAGCATCACTCACACGGGAGGGTTCATTCCCAGCAAATAATAAAAAACAACTGTAGTGGATATTTGCGGGCTTTTTCAGAGGGTCCCTAGGTCCTCTATCCTGCAGATCCCCACAACAACTCTCCATGAAGGGCTGAGTGGGACAAGAAGTGCTGACCCCATGTCATGGATGGGAGAGTCTAGGCTCAGGGAGGTGAAAAGACTTGTCCAACAAGAATCATCTAGTAAGTGGTAGAAGAAGGGCCAGAAACTAGATCTTCAGAGTCCTCACATGGACCTCTTGCTCCCAGTCCTCAATGCCCCTCACTGTTGAGCTGGAGGAAGCCCAGGACTCTGGGTGGCCCAGCCCCAGTCGCCAATAAACTCTCTCCTGTACCACCAGCCTCATCCCCAGAAAGCATGTGGCACCAACATGTCCCAGTGCCCACAGGTGACTTTGCTAGGAATCACCCCACTCACTTCATTGCAACAGCCCCTTCCTCCCCTTAAACCACGAGCTCTGCTAGAGCTAGACCTAACCCACCAGGACCAGGGAAATCCCTCGGCATCTCCAGCTAGGCATGGTTCTCAGCACATTCCATTCTCTCCACGTCCCCCGTGTATGGGGCAGCACCACTTTGCCATCGGTGGGATCCAGCTATGGTCACCTTCACACACGTAAAAGTGAAACAGATCGACATCACGTTTCCTAAAGAACCAACCCCAAATGTAGCCACCCTGGAGCATAATAAATTCACTGTGACAGCTCTTTTCCTTCTCAGGTCTCTGCCCAGGACAGAGATCTTTGCTGTTAGATCCGATGGGCGATGCCATAGAAGTCTGCCATGAATGCTCTGATGCGGACTCAAGCATTCGTTTGGGCTGGTCCATTTCAAGACATCGAGCAAAAGTTTCAGAATGAAGACAAGGCTTAAGGTGATGGGTTTCCTTACTAGCAAATACTTTTAACATCTTCTCCACGCATAAATTCTCCCTTTTCTTCAGTTCTTCTTTCATTTCATTTTCCTTTGATTCACTAATTGTTCTTAAATAAAGAATGCCTAATATTTACAAGGGCTCCCCCATATTCAACTGGTGGCACACTGAACTGCCCATGCTAGTAATGATCAATCAAATAATTAATGCATTTTTCAACATACATTCTTGCAGTATTTCTACTGTATCTATATATTCATTTAGGCTGATTGAATATATTCAAGTCAAACTCAATTCCCATATCAGACTATTACCTTATAGTAATTTTAAATGATAATGGTTCCATAAATGTATAGAGAATATACTCAAACGTATTTTATCCTAAATTTACTTCATGATATTTACACTTCTGCTTAATAAATTCAGTCTCAAATAGAAGGAAGGTAATTTCCCCTAAAATAATCTTCATTTCTTTATAAAGCACTTGATAAATCAGACCTTCGTGATACAATATTCTATTACAAAGCAAAGTCTACAAAAATGTATATTTTTACTTTATAAGCCCAGGGAGTCTTCAAAAGAAAATCATTCCTTCTTCTTCAACTACAATCAACTTGATTCAATACTGCATGGGTGTCTATAATCTGAGATGTCTTTCTTCTGGTATTAAAAGACCCTGACTGTCCCCTTTATAACCCATTAGCAAGCCCTGTTAGGAGCCTAGCCAAGAGGACTGGGCAAAAAACAGGTTCCTGATCTTAGTTTTCTAACATCAGTCCCCAAACTGGCATATTTGCTTCTTCTGTTTTCTGGTTTCAATTTCCCTAATTTAATTACATTTAATCAGTCTTACTGAATACATGGTCAATACCAGATGATCAGTATTGAAATCAGATTGATTGTATTCTTTGCAGCCAAAGATGGAGAAGCTCTATACAGTCAGCAAAAACAAGACTAGGAGCTGATTGTGGCTCAGATCATGAAATCCTTATTGCCAAATACAGACTGAAATTGAAGAAAGTAGGGAAAACCACTAGACCATTCAGGTATGACCTAAATCAAATCCCTTATGATTATACAGTGAAAGTGACAAATAGATTCAAGGGATTAGATCTGATACACAGAGTGCCTGAAGAACTATGGATGGAGGTTCGTGACATTGTACATGAGGCAGTGATCAAGATCATCCCCAAGAAAAAGAAATGCAAAAGGCAAAATGGCTGTCTGCGGAGGCCTTACAAATAGCTGTGAAAAGAGAAGCAAAAAGCAAAGGAGAAAAGGAAAGATATACCCATTTGAATGCAGTGTTCCAAAGAACAGCAAGGAGAGATAAGAAAGCCTTCCTCAGTGATCAATGCAAAGAAACAGAGGAAATCAATAGAATGAGAAAGACTAGAGATCTCTTCAAGAATATGAGAGATACCAAAGGAATATTTCACGAAAAGATGGGCTCAATAAAGGACAGAAGTGGTATGGACCTAACAGAGGCAGAAGATATTAAGAAGAGGTGGCAAGAATACACAGAAGAACTGTACAAAAAAGATCTTCACAACCCAGATCATCATGATGGTGTGATCACTCACCTAGAGCCAGATATCCTGGAATGTGAAGTCAAGTGGGCCTTAGGAAGCATCCCTATGAATAAAGCTAGTGGAGGGTATGGAATTCCAGTTGAGCTATTTCAAATCCTAAAAGATGATGCTGTGAAAGTGCTGCACTCAATATGCCAGCAAATTTGGAAAACTCAGCAGTGGCCACAGGACTGGAAAAGGTCAGTTTTCATTCCAATCC